TGATCCCCTGCAGCTCGGGGGATCCTCTGCCCCCCTGCCCTCACCTTGAGCTTCTCGAAGCGGTCGCTGAGCGAGGCCACTTGGTGGTCGCGGTGGCGGCCCACGAGCTTGCATAAGGCACAGATGAGCTGCTCGTCAGTCACACAGAACATGTTCACCTTCTCGCCGTCGTGCTCCAGGCACGCCAGCCCGCGGAAGTGCGCGTCGGGCACGGGCTCCAGCAGCCGGTGGCTGGTGAAGGGTTTCTTGTTGGGGTGCGTGGCGCGCAGGCAGCGGTCGCAGTAGGACACCTCGCAGGTGATGCAGGTCTTGACGGCGTCGCGGGGCGGCTCCTGCTCGCAGAACTGGCAGGGGACGCGCTCGGACACGGCCATGGCCGCGGGGCTGCGGCCCGGGGGCCGCTCACGCCGGCTCTCGCTCGGGGAGTTGGGGCCGCTCAGCGACGCCTTCTGGAAGCGGTCGATGATGTTCTGCAGGGTCACATTCCTCTTGAGCCCCTCCAGGCCCCGGTGGTTGAGGGAGATGACATAGCGGCACGTGGGGCACTGGAAGGCGGCGATGGGCTCGATGGAGTCGCCCGAGGAGCAGCTGGACACCAGGATGCGGTGGGCGCAGCTGAAACACAGGCTGTGGGCACAGGGCAGCAGCAGGGGGTCCTCAAATAACTCCAGACAGATTGGGCAGGTCAATTCCGACTCCAGTGTTTCCATCTTTAGTGAACGCAATCCCGATTCGGCGTCAAAAAGCAGGGAAGGTGGTCGGGAACCTGCAGGGGAGGAGAGCAGGGAGGTGAGGCCACGGCTGCACTGCTGGGCTGCACCTGCAGCAGCTGCCCGGGGGTCGGACACGTCACCCCCACCGCCCTGACACCCCCGGCACTGTGACGCTGTCACCTCCAGCCCCCCAGGCCCTGCAAGCACAGGCCGGAGCTGTCCCAGCCCACGCGGAGCAGAGCCTGGAGCCACCGCGGGACAGGAGCCACGTGGAGGGGACAGGAGAGGAGGAACAGCAGCTCCAGCAGTGACACCTTCCAGCCCAGCCAGGGCAGGACCTGGCCCAAAAGGCTGGAGACAAAACCAGAGGAAAGCACACGACCCCACGTTTGTGTTGGCGTGTGCTGCCAAGAGCAGGGGGGGCCGTGCTGGTGTCCCTTGCAGAGGGGCACAGACAAACCCCTGAACATCCCCCCCAGCAGCTCCAGGCCGGCTCCTGCTGAAGGGGAAAAGGAAAACCAAGCCGTGGAAACTCTGAGCAGAGCAGCTCAGGAGCTCCTAACATCCCAGCCCTCTCCCTGCTTTTCCTGGCCATTGCTTTCTGGAGCAGGGTGGGGAGGGCAGAGCAGTGAAATTATGGTCGGCAAAGTTCCACTGCTGGCTGTCCTCTGCTGCACTCCACGACAGCCAGGGATGCCTAAATCAACTCCAGCTGCAGGCAAACAACACAAGCTGTATTTTTAGCTCCTCTCCCTCGCACGAGGCTGGAAAACAGCTCCCAGCAGGCGACTGAACCTGCTGCTCCCAGCTCGGGTTTGCAGAGCACCAGGAGCTGCACCCCAGAGCTGCCAGCCCCTGCCAGCCCCTGCCAGCACCCCAGCACGTCCCCAGCAGCCGTGCAGTGACACAGAGCCAGAGCCAGCCTCTCCTTCCTCGTGTGCAGGGCACAAGAGGTACCTGCTGGTACAGCCACAGCAAGGCAGGCTCTGGGCCGTGCCCCCAGGAACAGCCTGGGGTGGTGCACAGGCTCTGCTTGGGGAGAAGAGGAAAAACCCTTCCCTGGGAAGTGGGCAGGGCTGGCACAGGTGCCCAGAGCAGCTGTGAGTGCCCCTGGGTCCCTGGCAGTGCCCAAGGCCAGGCTGGATGGGGCTTGGAGCAGCCTGGGACAGTGGGAGGTGTCCCTGCCACGGCAGGGGATTGGAACTGGAACTGGAACCCAAACCAGTCTGGAATTCTATAAAAAAGGGCTGTAACCAAAGTGTAGGGGGATGGGCCAGCAGCAGGAGAGGGCCTGGCTGCTGCCAGCCCCTGCAGATGGCAAATTGTGCAGGTGCCACACTGGGAGCCGCCCTCCTCACCCCACTGAACTCACCAGGTCCATCACCCCCACCCCACTGCCTGAAATGGGATTTGCAAGTGCCTGCAGGAAACCCTGAGCTCTCCCCTGCACCAGCTCAAGGGTTTATAAAATAAATCCACTGGGTGTTTGGATACGTTCATGCTGCAGCAGCTCTTGCTGGCCAAAGGCAGCCTTGCACACACATTTAAAATTATTCTTCTTTTCCCCGAGAGAGACAGTGGAGCTGTCACTGGATCCAAACAGCAGAGGACACGAGGGCTCCCAGCAGCTCCCTCTGCACAGCCCAGGGAGGGCTCCTGGAGCCTGGAGCTGCTGCAGCCATGGGAAAGCAGCAGGAGGAAGCTCCTGGCCCCGTGCCTGGCTGCCCAGGCTGCCCTGGGCTCCCCACGCTGCGGGGCTGGCAGGACGAGGGGTCCCAGAGCACCCCCAGTGCTCCTGGCACCTCACTGTGCCAGCCACAGGGGCTGCCTGGCCCCACGACCCCCAGCCCCTGCACGAGCCCAGCTGGGGGGCACAGCCCCCCCTGCCTCCCCAGCCACCCATGGACTCTCTCCAGCCAGCAAACACAAGGATAAAAAAAAAAAAAAAAAGAGAAAGGACAAGAACAGGATTTGTTTCATAGCCTGACCAAGACTGGGAAAAGAATTTAAAAACGAGGATTGGTGTGAGAGGCTCCCCAGCACCTTGCCAGAGCCTGCAGCCCCATGGAACGACATCCCACATCCAACAATGCAAAACCTCTGAACAGCCTCTGGTTTTGTTACTGAGGGACATTTGTACATTAATCTCGTTTCCTTGCTAGGACAACAGCTTCTACCTGTGACAGAGCCGAGAGGAGCCTCAGGCTGGGACAGGAGCCCCTCAGGAGGGAGGGGAGCCCTGCTCCAAGATGCTGCACCTGGCAAAGCAGCCATGCTGCCATCAGAGCCTTTCATGCCTCTCACTTTGATGTTCTCTTTGATGTCCAGGACTGACACAGCACAAGGAATAGCTGATTAGATTAAAATCTGCTTTCTTTAGTCATTAACTCCCTAAATACAAAAGCTGTAAAATACTGACACTGTTTACAGACAGCCCCGTGTCCCTCACTCGTGCCCAGGGCCATGGCCCTGTCCCTGCTGCCTGTGATGACAACGAGCAGCAGGTCATGACACCCAAGCAAACATTCTTGTGTGCTGATCTGAGCTCTGCCCAAAAGCGAGGGAGAAGAGAGGGGGGGTGGGAAATCAATGCCTGACAAAGCAGAAGAGGCAGGGAAGGGAAGGGCAGAGCTGAGGGACAGGGGATGCAGGGACAGGGACAGGGCCAGCTCCTCTGGGACACACTGACCACTGCTCTCACTTCCAGCCCTCCCAAAGCCCGAGTGCCAGCCTGCAGCAGCAGGAGCTGGGGAGGGTGCACAGGTCACCCTTGCCGAGTTACACCAAGGGTTCTTGGAGACAAAGGTTCCCCCAGCTCTTCTCCTAAATTATTATTGTCACAATATCAAAGCACTTCATCCCTGCCTCAAGATCACGGGTTCCTCAGAGAGATGCAGAGTTTGGCACCAAGGGAGGAAGGAAGGAGAGACAGGGAAGGAGGGATGTTGCCCACATCACCCATCTGTACCTGGGAGGGGGGACACCCTGGTGTCACCTGAGGCCACAGAAGCCAACCCCGAATTCACACTTTCCCCTCGAGCAGCAGCCAGGCCCCATTTTTACCCAAGTTTTCCAAGTCCACACAAAATTCCCTCTGGTGTCCCCCAGCCCCAACCCTGGGCAGAGTCTGGCCAGCCTTCAGAGTCCCACATCAGGATACCCAGACCTGTTCAGGAAAATGTTAATTCTGCAGGTTGGTATTTTCCACATCGAGTATGATTATTTATTTCCCCTCCCCCTTTTTATCCTTTTTTTTTTTTTTTTTTTCTAACCTTTTTTTTTTTTTTTTTTTTTTTTTTTTGCTTCCCCTCCTCCCCAAAAAAGCTCCAGTGGAGATTGCTCAGTCCCTTCCAAGAATGAGGCTTTAGAAGAGCTATGCTGCTCCACCCGTGCATTAACGAAAAAAGTAATAAAATATGGCAACCCTTTCCTTAATTGGCTCAGAGACAGCAGGATACAGAATCTGGGCAGCAGTTGTCTCTGTGCTTTTTGTTGTCCTCGGGAAGATGGGGATTGGTGTGGAGGGGAGGCCAGAACAGCCCGTGCAGAGCAGCAGCCACATCTCACATCCTGCTCCAGAGGAGCCCAGCACAGCCCCAGGGCTGCAGGGGGACAGGTCCCCTCCCCTCCCAGCTCTGCCCCTGACCCTGCACCCTGCCAGCTCAGCCTCCCCAAAACCAGCTACCCTCAGCCTGTCCACCACAAACAGGGGAGGAGGGAGCACAGCCCCAGCTGCATCATCACCATCATCATCATCACCATCATCATCATCACCAGCAGCAGCAACAGCTTCTGACCCCAGGAAGGCACCCCAGGGACAGGGGAGGCTCCCCCAGACCATTCACAGCCACCCTTTCCTACATTTCCTGTGCTTTATTTGCCTCAGCAGTGCATATTTAACACCAGATGTGAAGCTCAAAGCATCCCCTGGCCACATCAGCACACCTGAACACACCAAACTCGACTTGGCCTTTCCTCCCACCACAGTAACTCCACAAATTTGTCTGAGGCTTTCTGAAAAGCCCAATGATCCCTCTCCCAGCTGCCCACCCCAATCTCTTTATTGCCATACCAGAAAAAGAACACGGCCTGCTGCAGTTCAGCTGGATTCCCCCATTAAAGCCAGAGCTGCTGTCCTTAATCCATCAAACTGAAACAGCATTTACATACCAGCTTTAATTATTTTCCCAGCCACTTTGCTTGGTGCTAAAGCAAGGCTGCTCCACAAAATTTCCACAGCTCTCCCTGCACCTCTGAAATGAAGGACAGAGCTGGGAGGCTGCACCATGCAGCAGCTCCCTTCAGTGAGAGGGCCCTGTGTGCTGGCAGCTCAGTCACCTCCCTGTGAAACCCCCAGAGCAGCCACCAGAGCCCAGCAGGAACGGGCCACTTGTGTCCTCAACTCCTCCACGTGCACAGCCTTCATTCCCTCTGGGAATTTCACCTGCATGCTGATGGGATGAGACCCTTCTGCTCCATCACAAAATCCTCTCACTCCTGGATGTCTCCGGCCAGGCTCCAAGGTTGGGAAGGGCTGTCCTGGGTTCCTGCTCAGGACAAGGATGCTCCAGCTAAAGCCTCCAAGGTCTCCACCTCCTTCACCTCTCTGATGTCAGAGAGGGAAGCACCAAACAAAGATCCTTTGTTTGTTTGATATCCTGTACAGGGGAAGGTTTTGCCTCTCTTCTCCAAGCAGTGCCCAGGACAGTGGCAGCTCCTGGGGTGCTCCCACAGGACCTCAGCTCAGCACACCGAGGGCTCCAGGGCGTGTGGATGTGCTTGGAGCCCCTGAGCTGCAGGGTGGGTCAGGAAGGGATTCCCTGCAGTTTGCTCCTGCAGCCATAGGGTGGGAATCATGGTGGGATTTGTGCCACGTGGATTCCCCATCAGCCGCAGGGTTTGGGACACTGTGCTCTGGGATATGATGGGCAATTCCCACTGGCACCGGCTGGGAACCTCCCCCTGCCATCTCCCTCCGTGGCCTGAGGGCTGACAGGACACAAAAGGCCCAGGGCACCTCTGCAGCCCCTCAGCATGGCAGGTCCCTGGAGCA